CCCACCATAAGCAATCCCAAGATAATGCTTCTATACTTGGCACCAAAGATCACGTCTTTGATTCAACCCCTTCATCAAGGCATCAAGGCAAAAATTTCAAGATGAAGTATGTCAAGAGAAGCTACAGTTTTATTCTGGAAACAACCGAGAATAAAGGCCTGTCACTAGCGGATAAACGTAGTAGTTCAGCATCAACAATTGTTTCAACTGCTTGGATGTGGTTCTAAAGAACATAAAGCACGTTGGAAAACTGCTTGATGAAAATTCTTCCGTCGTATTTCACGAATTCACAATGCAATGAAGACGACAACGAGGATTTGCAGATCATGTCCAATATTCAACAAATGCACGGAAAGTTTGGTGCACCGAGGGTAAGAAATACAGTGAAATCAAAGAAATCATAAGATATGAACCAGCTACAGCAGATGAAATTGTTGGCGAACTCGACCCATCTACAATGAATATGGATTATATTTTCATCCCACCACGGCAGAAATCGAGTTCAAAATAAATCAACTCTCCGAGTTCGGAAGCTTCTGCACATTGGACAGTAATGTCGAACATAGTGCAAAAATGCAAGATTTGCTAAGGGAAGTCGAAACGTTGCCATCTTGCTCAATGATACTTTATACACATTATACAAATTATACGCAATATGGTTGATAAGCATTACACGGAGAACAAATAATAGCAGACGCAATTATTTTTCCGGTTAAAATAACTATATTGTTCAATTGTTTTAGAGATAACCCGAAACTATAATTGATTTGACTATATATAGAGGGCAACAACTATAGTTCATAGTTGGCTCCTCGGTTGGCTCAACTATATTTTTCAGTAGATGAACAAACGTCAAACTTCAAATTACAACTATACTTTAGTTGATTCAAGAAAAATATTGTTATGAAAGCAAAATTTCACAATGTTTATAAAACGAACTGCTCTTCATTATCGATCTCAAAAACACAACTGCAAAATCATAAAAAAGTGAACAAGAACATTCAACTTATATTTGAACCGTGTTGATCTGCGTAAGAGCCAGCTATCTTATCGCCTGCTCTACGCATCACAAGTTAAAAGTATGTGGATATATCATGATCACTTGAAACCAAATTATATAAATAAATTACATTTGACGGTTGTTATAATTGATAAAAGTTATAGTTGAATTGAGTATAAGATGAACAGTTGAATCAATTAGGTAGACATGATTGAGTTGACGGTCAAATTTATGTTGGAACAACTATAGGTTTCTTTCGAACAACAATATTTTTCCATGTGAAAGTAACTATTAGGATTGTTATCTTAACTTAACGAATTTGTTCTCCGTGTATTCAGGAAAATTAATGCGAGGCAAGATGTTGAGGTCCAACATACCCTAAAACTAAACAAAATTCATCTTCCTAGTGGATTATCGCCAAACCTACCCCGCAAACGGTCCACGTTTTGTTTATCAGGCTCAAACGAATTAACTTTACAGAACCGAGGATTCTTGGTCACTATACAATACATCTTAAAACTATAGTCAAAAGGTCACACACAATAAACACTTTATCTTCCGCTATCCAAAAAGCCTCCTCCATCAGAACTGGAGCCGCTTCCAGTGGTTTCATTGTATGGCAGATTCGCCAACGAGGGTCAGAGCGCTTGCATTGCAGCAATGGACGCAAAACGTGGTCAGCACTCACACACTCATCACGAAACGGTTGCTTTCCAAAGTTGACGAGAATCGATATTCCAAAATGACGTCTGGCATCGATTTCCGACTTCTACACGTCGTCCCCTTTCTGAAAATATCCATAGTGTAGGGTATTTGACAATTTTTCTTGAACCAATGGTCGCCATCTTGGATTTTAAAATTGCGTCTGGCATCTTTTTCCGGCCTCTAAACGTCATCCCCTTTTCGAAAATACCCATATTGTAGCGTATTTCACAGTTTTTCTTGAACTGATGGCCGCCGTCTTGGAATTAAAGATGGCGTCTGGCATCGATTTCCGGACTCTACATGTCATTCCCTTTCCGAAAATATCCATCTTGTAACGTATTGGACAGTTTTTTTTTAACTGATGGCCGCCATCTTGGTTTCCAAATTGGCGTCTGGCATCGATTTCCGGCCTCTACACGTCGTCTCTTTTCCAGAAATACTCATATTGTAGAGTATTTGACAGTTTTTCTTGAACCGATGGTCGCCATCTTGGATTTTAAAATGGCATCCGAAATTGATTTACAGTCTCTCTACACGTCATCCCTATTCCGTTTCGTGTCCTCACATCGCACAGTAACATCTTATATGGACAAGCTTTCCAGACATAACATATTAAGGAAGTTCATGTGCACACTAGCGCCGCTTAGTAAGAGAGTTCTTAAATAATATAAACACCATCCGAAAGGAATTGGTCACCTGAACAACTTTACTGAAGACAGCAACGTTCTATATGGCCAGGTTCTCGAGAAACAGTTTATATAGGAAGTTCACATGCACACTAATGTTGCGTAGTGAGAAAGTTCTGAACTAATATGAACACCATTCAAAAGGATATGATCACCTGAACAAGTTTGCTGAAAACAGTTACCTTCTATATGGGCAGAATTTTGAGATACAGCGTATATACGAAGCTCATGTACACACTAGCACCATAGAGCTAGTAGGTCCCGAAGAACCGTGCTAAACTTTTTGGCTCAGCTCTAGTACTATCTTCAGTCCCAAGCTAATCGATTCACCCCTCGAAACATAAGAAAATCCACTAACTCCTGATTGTATTAGTCAAACTTTCATAGCGAATCAAAACAAACATTGTGTAGTACTAGAATTTTGACTAGAATGGGGTGCGTTAATCTATTTGCTTGGGACCAATAGGCTAGTCAAGTAGTGAACCAATATTAAAATCGTTAGTTTCCACCGGTTGCTAGCACTGCGTAGTGAGAGAGTTCTGAACTACTTTGCTGAAGACAGTAGTACCCCATTCTAGTAGAAATTCTAGTTCTTCACTATGTTTGTTTTCATTCGCTATGAAAGTTTGACAGATAAAATGAGGGGTTCGTGGATTTTCCTATGTTTCGAGGGGTGCATCAATTAGCTTGGGACCGAAGAGAGTACCAGAGCTGAGCCAAAAAGTTAAGCACGTTTCTTCGAGACCTTCTAAGACCAGAAGTTAATATCATCATTCATAATTTAATGTCACAAACAAACTTTTGAAATTACAGGTATCAATAATCACTATTTTTCATCAGCTACACGGTTGCCGTCCTAAACGATCAAAAATACATCCGGAAAAAGCAAATATCGGTTCTTCTTAGGGCCACCATTCGAAAAACAACCGGCCCTTTAACCAATTCAAAAACGGAAAGAGTAAAGATAATAGATTATCGATAAATTAAAAGAACTAAAGGCTCAACATATTTGTTCCGCCCACTAGCGGTCGTACGTCAAGTTTCCGTTCGTGCCCCTAGGCACAACCCTTCTACTTTTTTTTAATGTTCCAAAACTCAGTACCTTGACTTGTTTGTTTGCAAAATCTAGGTAATTTTTCTAAGTCTATAAACTGGAGTATTTCTCATTGTCCCAGAACCTTTCAAATGCGCTCAATATTTTTTGTTAATTTCAAATCAAATTGTTTGACATTGTTTCATTTATAGTCAATCATAATCAGAATCTTGAAGGCTTTAGTCAGTGCGAGATCACTGCATATGCACCTATTTTTTTCCATTTTCAAGATATCAACACCTTTGACCTTTGACACGAATATAATGATTCTGCAACTCTTAAAAAATATAAAACTCAAACACTGAATATTTTATTGTTGTTGTTGGATTACGGCCTTCAACAAAATATCTCAATTCTGGAATTTGGTCAATTTTATGCGATCTTATAGCTTACCCCCAAGCTCCTCCCCTGATCCTATCCTTCGACAATGTACCTCTCTAACCTCGGGTAAGCCGCGGATATTCGGCCCAACTCCTACTAGACATAGAATTAAGTGAATTTTGTTACAAACAAAGAACAATGAACTATCGGCTTCGTAAAGCTAACGCGATTGAGCCTCCCAAATAAACGAACTAGTTAAAAAATATCTTGTAGCTTAAACATGTTGTCATAATAATTATTCTTTCTAATACACTCTCCCTCCTGTCCCTTTGTCCAAATCCATGAGAATGTGAGTGAATAAAGAATTAAGATTTAATATATTATCACACTTTTCGCACTTTAGTAGACTGAATCTAGACTAGTAGAATCAAATGTAAATAATAGGCAGTACTGTTTTCAAAAAATAAAACTTTTCGTGTATTGACCGTGAATTATAAAATTATCCAGTATTCGCAATTGGCTTTCAACACCATTAAATTGTAGTAATGCAGTTGAGTCTTATCAAATAAACGAATAGAAAATGATAAAGTTAAAAGAGATAGAGAATTATCTTAGGTAAGGTAAGTAGGTATGAATTGTTCGAAAAGATTTTCCAATCATCGATCAGCATTCAGTACATCTTAAACCATTACACACTTTCCTTCTGTCCACCAAGATTTTCAGCATTATAGATAAATAATGAAAAGTAGTTCTTCAATCATGGTTAACATCTCAATAAAATTTTTCCGGTCACGGTCACAATTTGAGTAACAACAAAATTAATGTCACTAGTTTACTTGCATACAATTATCATTATAAAAATTTGATTAAGTGTAAATAAATTATATTTTAGGCTATCGAGAAGCCCCACTTTATTTATCATTGCATTTTATTTCCACTATGCACTGAAATCCGGACACTTTAAAAAGTTGATTATCAGGGCCAAATATTATCCAAATTCTACGTAAGTTTTATGATGATCATATAGTGTCGTCTATGTTCATCTTACATAAATATTTTGTTGCCAATTGAATGTAATATTAATTAAACATGAAATGTCCGGATTACAAGACTGTCTGGCATTCGGTGCATTACGGTAACTAAAGCTGTTAATGAATTCATATCACTTTCTAGCGTATAGAAATAAGGTACATACCGACAGTTTGTTGATCACAAGAAGCTTGAAGTTGCGTATTTTAATTATTATAATATCGGTAAGTTTTCCATAATTACTTTTACGTCACCGTTTCTTTTTTCCATACCACCTACTGTTCCACCGTATCTGTCGAAACAATCCGAATTCAATAGGCTATTATTGTTGACCGAAAATGGCCGGCTGCTACTATCATAGAAGGTCAATCCGAGTGGTCCACTTTGGTGATGTGATAGTGTTGAAAGTTTTCGTCACCGTCATCGTCGATATTTTTGCTCACCAAAATCAAATCATGGGAATTCCCACTGCCGACGAAGAAAGGAGCGTTGCAGCCATTAATATTGCTGCCAAAACAAAAAAAAATGATACACCGACACAATTCACACAAAATACTATTGCTGTGGCTTCCTTCCTAAAAATTAACCGAATCCATTTTGCCTCTCTTCATTGCCTTCATATTCATTTTTTTATGCACTCCATTTTTCTTTGCCATTTCTTGCACCCCCTATTTATTTTTTGGGAGATGAAGCTCACTTAGACAAGTTAATCTACCCGATTAGACTTCGATTCGTTGAACCAATTTGAATTGGGTCACACATAATTCCATACTCATTTGTGTCACCAGCGCAAAATTACTCCCCTGCATTGATCAACTGTTGTAAACACTTACACATAATAAAACACAGAACCGGCCAATTACTGCTCTATACCCCAAATATGCACCGCAATTAACGGCTCACGACCGGTGAGTGTTTTGCACTTGTACAATTAATCATCCACCGAATAAACGGCTAACGAAACCACGAAAAGCCACCCGCTCTGCTTAAAACTTCGCGCGAAGATGAGCAACTTTAACGAGACAAAAACAAAGATTGCAAATTACGAAACAACCAACTTGTACCACAACATGGTGGCATACGGGTGCGCGCGCGTACAATGATGATCACACACTACACAACCGGTGGGTTCACGAGTTCCGAACCCACGGAGAGCAACACTCTTTGCAAGCCAGTGCTGAAGACTCCAAACCAGCCGATCCAAGTCAAGTCAAGCCAACCACGCGCGCGCACGTCTCTTACTGCTACGTTCGATACCGAGCTACGCCAGAGAACTAACTCGTCGGATCTTACCACTGACCTAACTTGGCTCCACAAATCGTGCGCTTCTCCGCTGAGCTCCGTACGTACGGTGCACCGCGGGCGGTGGTGTGATGGGGACGGTGGGGTATTCCGAAAAAAGCGAAGCGCGAAAAAAATACTATGGCAAAAATCGATGCACACTATCAAAACTGCGAGCACAGAGACCTCCAAAAAATAACAACACGATCAGAAGCCCTACTGCGGTCTGGTGATAGGCCACAACCGCGTGCGAGCTGAGGAATTGCGGAGAAAGAGCGAACCCAGAACCAATAGGTCGTCGTGTTTGGGGTCTGTGCTGAGAAGCCGGTCGGTGGCGTCGATCACCACAACCCACAACCACACATCAACCCGTAGAATTGAAGAGAAATAGCGAGAGAGAACGAGAGTTTTGTGGCTGGGTGAGATCTGATTTCTCGCCAAACCGCTGCTGGCCGACCACTTCCAAATGAAATCAAAAGTGATCCTCGCGAGACCGTGTAGGGGTTACCTCATCGCGATCAAGCCGGTTTCAAGAGGTGCTAAATAGGTGATGGGGTAATTGTAAAAAAATGCACTTTGGGGTGGGTGGTAATCCGGAGACATGTGATGCACTTAAATTTGATTGAAAATGAGACAGCAGTCATAATTTTAATTGGATATGCAATGCTGAAAATGCAATTCCTCTTGACGACTTGAGCTACCCCTCGAAGAAATCTATCGCTTCTTTTAGAGTGAGTTTTCTCTCTGTTTACTTGTCAATCGAAGAGCATAAAACTCTCTCACCCTCTTCTCTCGACTAAAGGTATTCAGCGATCATAATCAGCTGATATTTAGCTATGTTTTTGCATCATGATTCAGCTGTTAGGGTGTTATACGTAACTGTAGCTTCAGTATTAACTTTAAATCGAGAAATGGAGAAAAAATATGTGATTGCCCAATTAATTGAGAATCATGCTTTGAAAGCCTTTAGAATCTTAATAAAAAAGATCAATTTGCTCTCATTGTGTGTTTCCAATTGGACTGAAAGCCCATTACAAGTCAAGCTGAACATTGCATTAGGTTTTAAGTAACATTGATCGATTCTCTTCGGCGGCTTTCTCTTTCGTTAATAAGTTGAGCACATAACCGTTTCTTGATGTGTTTCTGTGTGCTGAAAATACCTGGGAACGTCTTAACATGGCCATGGGGATACAAAGAGAAAGTCGACGAAGAGAATCTGTCAATGTTTCTTAGGACTTAATGCAATGTTCAGCTTGAAATATATACTTAAGCGTTTTAATCCAAGCATGGATTGCCAAAATGGGTTTATCAAGGATATTCCACTACTTGTTCCAGTAATTCTGCTCACTCACTCAAGTACCCTGCGCACCTCCACAGGGATCCATAAATTTGAGCTCATTTGGTTGCGATCTCATACTGTTTGAAGTTTATTATGGTAATTACTATGGGAAAAGTGAACTTTTAGTTCTTCTTGATCATGCTTTTTCCTACAATGATTTACGTATTAGCTTGCTATCTAAACATTAAAAAAAAAAATCTCAACTACATCTTTGCAGAAGACCACTTCTGATTGAACGTTAGGATATTTAGTTATTGATTGACTGCTTTCAGGGCAACAGAACAGAAAAGGATCTTCGGCTCAGAAAGTGGCTCCGCTTTTCATTGGCGAACACTACACACTTAGATTTTTTTGCCGAGATGGGCACCACCGAGCAGCTCGGCATTTTATTTTGATGGAAATTCAGCAAAAAATATGTTTGTTAGCTGAGATCTCGGCAAAATTCCCGTTCGCTAGCTGGATCTCGGCAAGTTTTTCACTGAGATCCAGTAAAACAACATGCCGAACTGCTCGGTGGTGCCCATCTCGGCGAAAAAATCTAAGTGTGTAGTGCACCTAGCGGTTGAAAGCATCTTCTACCTGCAGTTAAGATAGGCAGCAGGCTATGATAGTATGAGTGCGCATAGAAGTCCCGGAATGCTACCACAACGCATGGCTTGTTGAGCAGAAAAACCTACAACTTTTTGATTCACCGATTTGTTTGCACTTCCCCTTAGCGTAGATTTTTTTTTTTGTCCCATTCTTCGCACCAAGTACACCAATATTGCCTGCTGAGCTGTTAAGAGCACATGGCAGAAGAATATCTTCTTCCTTAACAATAAATAACTATGAAGAGCTTTGTGTGGGTTGGTTTATTTCCTTTAAATTCCGTTAAAATTGCTTATATTTTGACAGATACGCGTATTTCATCTACTACTTGCAGACTTCATCAGTGCCAAGTACTCAGCACCACTGAAGAATCCATCTTTTATCTACGAGTTATATACTAATCAATAGGTACTAAAAATCAGCAGGTATCCACTGCCATGTCAAAATTTACAGTAGCATGCTAAAGAGTCTCGAGTATCCGTTTCCTTGATCTCTATTAAGCAATGTTGATGGATTATGTTCAAATATTTCTTAACTTTCAGCTACGTCTAGTTTCCAAGGCGAAGATACACTCCGCAGGATATTAATGTTATCCTTAGTCAAATTGTGCCCCTTTGTAACGATATGCTCTGCAACCTTGGATTTAAATTCATAATGAAGTCCTTTGTCCATCTCTTTGTTAGCCTTTTTTACCTCTGCGATGTGTTCCTTAAACCTTGTTTCCAAAGTCCTTTTCTTCTGACCAATGTAGATTTTATTGCAATCTGTGGACAAGAGATTTTGTAGACTCCGGCTTTCCCTAAGACATTTATTAAATCTTTTGTTGATCCTAACAGTGACTTCAGCTGATTTGTCCTGCTGCTGAATACTAAATCTAGGCCAAAACTTCCAAACTTTGAAATCAATGGTTTGGTAATGTTTTTGTCGAAATTTACCGCTACCCGTTTTAAACCCTCAGTTACTAAGTAAGAGTTGTCGAAAACCGTCTAAAATGATGCCTTGTTATTTTATCGATTACTGCTTGAATTGTTTTTTTTTTTTGATACTCATTAAATCTAACGACAACGGCCAAAGATGCGTGAACTTTGCAGCCTCCCGGGGTTTGGTAGTTCGAAGTACCTTTTTCCCCCGCAAGGATATCCACAAAGCCACCTGGAGATCACCTGACCAACACACAGAAAACCAAATCGATCACGTTCTAATCGACGAGAAATTCTTCTCCGACATTATCAACGTCCGCACGTACCGCAGTGCGAACATAGATTCGGACCACTACCTAGTTGCAGTATGCATGCGCTCAAAACTCTCGACGGTGCATAACACAGGTCGAAGTCGAACGCCACGACCCAACATTGAGCAACTACGGGACACCGGAGTTGCCCAGGACTACGCGCAGCAGCTGGAAGTTGCACTACCCACGGAAGAGCAGCTTGGCGCAGCTTCTCTTGAAGATGGCTGGAGGGACATCCGTTCAGCCATAGGTAGTACTGCTGTAGCGGCACTAGGTACTGCAATCCCGGACCGAAGAAATGACTGGTTTGACGGCGAATGCAAACTGTTAGTAGAGGAGAAGAATGCAGCACGGGCGAGAATGCTGCAACACCGCACGAGATTGAATGTGGAGCGATACAGACAAGCGCGGAACAGACAAAACTCGGTTTTCCGAAGGAAGAAGCGTCAGCAGGAAGATCGAGATCGCGAGGCGATGGAAAATCTGTACCGCGTAAACGACACACGGAAGTTCTACGAGAAGCTAAATAGTTCGCGCAAAGGCTACGTGCCGCAAGCCGATATGTGCAAGGACTTGGACGGTAACCTTCTCACGAACGAGTGTGAGGTGATTGAGAGGTGGAAGCAGTACTATGACGAGCACCTCAACGGTGAAGACGACAGGCTACCGGCCCCTGATCTTCAAGAAGTTGAGGAGGAGATCGGTCGGCTGAAGAACAACAAAGCAACTGGTGTAGATCAACTACCAAGTGAGCTATTGAAATACGGTGGTGAAGCACTGGCTAGAGCGCTGCACTGGGTAATTGCCAAGATTTGGGAGGAGGAGATATTACCGGAGGAGTGGATGGAAGGTGTCGTATGCCCAATCTACAAAAAGGGCGACAAGTTGGATTGCTGCAACTACCGCGCGATCACACTGCTGAGCGCCGCCTACAAGGTACTCTCCCAAATTCTATGCCGCCGTCTGTCACCATATGCAAGAGAGTTCGTGGGGCAATACCAGGCGGGATTCATGGGTGCCCGCGCTACCACGGACCAAATTTTCGCGATTCGGCAGGTTCTGCAGAAATGCCGCGAATACAACGTGCCCACACATCATTTGTTCATCGATTTCAAATCCACATACGACACAATCGATCGAGATCAGCTATGGCAGATTATGCACGAGTACGGATTTCCGGATAAACTGACGCGATTGGTCAAGGCGACGATGGATCGAGTGACGTGCGTTGTTCGAGTATCGGGGACACTCTCGAGTCCCTTTGAATCTCGAAGGGGGTTACGGCAGGGTGATGGACTTTCGTGTCTGCTGTTCAACATCGCGTTAGAAGGTGTGATCAGAAGAGCTGGGATAGACACGAGTGGCACGATATTCAGGAAGTCCATCCAGCTCCTTGGTTTCGCCGATGACATTGACATTATGGCACGGAACTTTGAGATGATGGCGGAAACGTACATCAGACTGAAGGCTGAAGCTAGACGGATTGGACTTGCCATCAACGCATCAAAGACAAAATATATGAAAGCAAGAGGTTCTAGGGAAGACAATGTTAGCCTCCCACCCCGAGTTCAGATTGACGGTGACGAAATCGAGGTGGTCGATGAGTTCGTGTATTTGGGCTCACTGGTGACCGCCGAAAATGATACCAGCAGAGAAATTCAAAGACGCATTATGGCAGGGAATCGTGCCTACTTTGGACTCCGGAGGACGCTCCGGTCGAATAAAATTCGCCGCCGCACGAAGTTGACTGTCTACAAGACGCTGATTAGACCGGTGGTCCTTTACGGCCAC